CCTCCTCTCTATCTCACACACACAGGTGAACTTCACCCTCCTCTCTATCTCTCACATACAGGTGAACTTCACCCTCCTCTCTATCTCTCACATACAGGTGAACTTCACCCTCCTCTCTATCTCTCTCACACAGGTGAACTTCACCCTCCTCTCTCTCTATCTCACACACACAGGTGAACTTCACCCTCCTCTCTATCTCACACATACAGGTGAACTTCCCCCTCCTCTCTATCTCTCTCACACAGGTGAACTTCACCCTCCTCTCTCTCTATCTCACACACACAGGTGAACTTCACCCTCCTCTCTATCTCACACATACAGGTGAACTTCCCCCTCCTCTCTATCTCTCTCACACAGGTGAACTTCACCCTCCTCTCTCTCTATCTCACACACACAGGTGAACTTCACCCTCCTCTCTATCTCACACATACAGGTGAACTTCCCCCTCCTCTCTATCTCTCTCACACAGGTGAACTTCACCCTCCTCTCTCTCTATCTCACACACACAGGTGAACTTCACCCTCCTCTCTATCTCACACATACAGGTGAACTTCACCCTCCTCTCTATCTCTCTCACACAGGTGAACTTCACCCCCCTCCTCTCTCTCTCTCTCACACAGGTGAACTTCACCCTCCTCTCTCTCTCTCTCACACAGGTGAACTTCACCCTCCTCTCTCTCTATCTCACACACACAGGTGAACTTCAGCGAGCCACTGTCGATGCTGCAGCGACTCACCGAGGACTTTGAGTACGCGTCGATCCTGGACCGCGCCGCGCGCTGCCGCGACCCCCACGAGCAGCTCGCGCACGTCGCCGCGTTCACCGTCTCCTCGTACTCGACGACGACGATGCGCACGTCGAAGCCGTTCAACCCGCTGCTGGGAGAGACGTACGAGTGCGATCGCCGCGACGACCTCGGCTGGCGCGCCATCTCAGAGCAGGTAGGGGGCGCCACCTTCAGGCACGCGAGGTGCGCCGTCGTGCACCCGCGTCTCCCGTCTACTTGGAATTCCTCTGTCAGGCACCCTTGCTCTATCTTCCTAGAATTCCTCTGTCAGTCACCCTTGCTCCATCTTCCTAGCATTCCTCTGTCAGGCACCCTTGCTCCATCCTCCTGGCATTCCTCTGTCAGGCACCCTTGCTCCATCTTCCTAGAATTCCTCTGTCAGGCACCCTTGCTCCATCTTCCTAGCATTCCTCTGGCAGGCACCCTTGCTCCATCCTCCTAGCATTCCTCTGTCAGGCACCCTTGCTCCATCTTCCTAGCATTCCTCTGTCAGACACCCTTGCTCCATCCTCCTGGCATTCCTCTGTCAGACACCCTTGCTCCATCTTCCTAAAATCCTTCTGTCATGCACCCTCGTCATATCTCCCTAGAATCCCTATGCTATTCACTCGCACTTGGTATGGTTGACTTCATATCAGAGTGAGTTGTTAAGTGAATTACACGGCTCCACTTCATGCAGCCGATGACGTGTTCTGTAGCGTGGAACGTTCCCCTAGCATTCAGCCAATGCTAGAATATTATAGAATATGCTAGCTTATTCGGCTCAAAGAGTGCGCGTCCATAATTCTTTAATCTGAGGTGCACGGGGTGGATTGAATGATGATATTAGTTCTAGTACAGCATGACCCCTGCACTGTTGCAATCATAATGCATTATAACCTACCGAGATCCACTTCATTTGCATGCTCGGGCACTCGTTACCCCCACGTACTAAACTATATGCTACTACTAGCGTATTCCACGCGAACTAACCTTATTTCGTATCGTTGTAGCGTATGTCTAGCACTGACCACACACGGATTACTGCTTACAACATCTTACTGCACGGTATGGTTGCCTGAGGTGGGGGGGCTTGTACGACGCTCGCTTGCACGGCTGCCCCCTGCTGGCTGAAGCACTAACATCGACTCTCTAACCCGCGTTAGAGCAGACTAACAAACTAATACGACTGACTCGCTGTCACACCTATTGTTTGTTGGGTCCTGGCTGCGCTGGTGCTGTGCATGTTTTTACACTAAAAAAAATGTGCGATCTTTGGGACGTCTTGCATGGTGAATCTCCAGGTTGGCACAGTGCTGCTACCTAGTGTCCGTTTTGGTGACTAATCTGGTGCGGGAAATGTCCTAGCCGTATTGTCACGCTATGTGCATGTCTTGTTCCAGTTTATACATGAGGTTGAAGAATGGCAAACAATTTCTTTAAAACGCTAAAGTTTTGGTGACTATTCAGTCTCTTAGAACAGGGGCTATATCGGAAGGCGGTTACTTCGTGTGTATCGCAAGACTTGTACCTGAAAGAAGTCTATTGTCCACATGGCTTTGTGTACCTGCATGATTTGGCCTAGAATTTCATAGGAAAACCTAGCATAATAAAGATGGACAGCTACTTTGTGAGACATTTTCTGCCTGCCGTACGATTATTGCTTGAGGCTTGATTTCGTCTCGCTCTTCTCTCGGTTTGACAGTGGATAGTTCAGGTTGTACGTGCTGCTGCTATCAACGCTAGCTGCATGGCTGTGGCTGAGCGTCGGCACTAGGGCCTAAGATAAAATATTGCTTGTTTCTCCTTTACCGACCGACTTGCCAAAACGCCGCTACTCGACACATTTTATTGGCCGATTAAAACAAAACAAAAATTATTGTTTCGCAAAAAAAAAAAATCAAATTCGTTCCGCAAAAACATATACACAAAACAGAATATACAATATACATACACACATCTTGTCAAAACAAAATAAAAAAGATTTTTCACCTACCTACCTACTCGAGTAGGTAAAGGGGAAGCAAAAAATTTTTTAAGGGTGCCCTAGCCGGCGAAAAGCTGCAGCACTGCGAGAATGTTCAGTCCAGCATACGTTTAGCTAACTGCTACTGCAATACCCCTTCCCCACGCACGCACGCGCGCACACACACTTCACACATACACACGCACGCACGCGCGCACACACACTTCACACATACACACGCACGCACGCGCGCACACACACTTCACACATACGCACGCACGCACGCACTTCATTCTTCATTTGACATGCTTCATGGCGTGAACGGCTGGTTCCCCCCCACCCTGCATGCCTCGTCTCTGGACAGTTTTACTAACAGCGCGGTTGCTCGTGCTTCTCTCACGAGCCTGACCAAGTAGCTGTAGCCACTCACACGCCACCTTCTCACGTCGCCGGTGACGCGTACTCGCACGCCGCATTTTTGCGTCGCCGTCGCCGCAACGATGAAAATCTTTTCGCGACAGTTTTACTAACAGCACGTTAGTCGCTCGTGCCTCTCCCGCGAGTCCGATCAACTCTTGCGTAGCTGTAGTCGCTCACACGCCACCTTATCGCATCGCCGCATCGATTAAACGTCGATCGGAGCGCCGCCATCTTGAATTCCGGCGCGTTTCGCGGCAGCGTGTTTCCGTCGGCGTCTGCCCAGCGGCCCTCTTGACCGCGCGGCGCGGCCGCTTGTGCGTTGTAGGTGAGTCACCACCCGCCGGCGGCGGCGATGTACACTGAGGGCCAGGACTGGCTCGCCTATCAGGAGTTCACCATGTCGAGCAAATTCCGCGGCAAATACCTGAACATCATCCCGCTGGGCATCGCCCACATCGAGTTTCCGCGCTCAGGCAACCACTACACGTGGAGGAAGGTGAGCGGTCCAGGGTCCAGCGCGGCCGCGGGAGGGCGTCCGACGGTCAAGGGTCGAGGGTGATGCGGCATGCCAGGGTCGTCTGTCGCATGGCGTGCTGCCGTCGCGTGGCGTGCCGGCGTCGTGTGGCGTGCCAGGGCCATCTGTCGCGTGGCGTGCCGGCGTCGCGTGGCGTGCTGCCGTCGCGTGGCGTGCC